GTGGTAGCAAAAATAATTGGAAAAAACCTAAATACCTACCAGTGGAGAAATAGCTTAAAAAAACACTGTTACATATATCAAAAAAAAAAAAAAAAGAAAAAGAAACCCACTGCCACAAAGTCAATTCCAACTCACTGCCACCCCATGGGGTTCCCAAAGCTGTAAATCTTTACAGAAGTAGATTTCCTCATTTTCCTCTGATGGGTTTGAACCACTGACCATCTGGTTAGCAGCCAAATGCCTTACCCACTGTGTCACCAGAGCTCCTATGTTGTACATTACACATATACTATAGAATATAATATAGTAATTTTTTAAAATGAGCTAGATTTACATACACTGACACAGAAGGCTCTCTAAGATGAACTGTTAGCTGAACAACAACAACAACAAAAAATTTAGGAATTTGTCAAGATCCAGCACGAAACACAGTCATAAACATCCGTAGAGACACGTGTAGGAAAATGCATACAGCAAGGCCTGGAAGGAAATACACAAATGTGATATCAAAGATTACTGCTACCAAACAGTGGGATTTGGGGAGTGCAGAAAAGGAGGTATTTTTAAGGTCTAAATATATTTAAACCTTTATAAAGACTGTGAATTCATGTATTTTCTTGCTCAATAAAATGTGAGGGAAAAAGTCGCAATCCTGTCTTTTGGGAGAGAAGTTAAAGCTGATAAAACATATATGAGAATCGCTTCAGTAGGAAGTAGCAGAAACCCTGAGAATGGCTGAGATTTTTTTTCAGAGAGAATACAGAAAAAAATGAAGCAAGGGGTTGAGAACAGGATATGGACCTGTGCCCACATCAGCATGTGAGGGAGTCAGATTTAAAACACTGGTGCAGCTTCCAAAAGGGACCTCTGGAAAAAGGTTCCTGTGTTTGGTGGTGTCAGTTGGTGTGGCACAGAGACTGAAGCACCTGGCTAGAACAACACATGGAGAAAAGAAGGTCTTTTTGAACAACATCCACAAAATAGAGGTCCCTCATTGAGAGGGTGGAAAGAAGTGGTCACTAGTAATTCCTGGTAAGTGTAAGTCAGTTGTCACCTTGTAGACCACGCAGGTATCTCCTTTCCTCCGTGACTGTAACCCCATTGAGTGTGTGCACTGAGTCTGTCAAAGCCAGGCAGCTGTGGCTGATCCACCTTCCTTCTCTTCCTGAAAAATGACCGTGAAGATGGGACTAATTTGAAAGAAGACGACTTTGAGTTGCTGTGTCTGGATGGCAGCCGGAAGCCTGTGTCCCAAGCTGCCAGCTGCCACTTGGCCCAAGTCCCCAATCACGCTGTGGTCGCACGGAAAGAGAAGGCAGATTGTGTTCGCCAGTTGTTACTCAGGCAACAGGTATGGACCAGCCAGGGCCTCCCACCCTTTCTTCCTAGATGAACATGGGTTATTTGGGAGACTTTGTAGTGAAGTCCAAGCCCAGACTCTAGCATTCTCTTTCTGGAAATTAGAATTGGGAGGCCATGGACTCAACTCAAATATCTAGGTTCAAATCTCAGCCTTGTGGCTTCCTAGTTGTGCCATCTCAGGTGTAGTACTGAACCTCTTTATGCTTGAGTTTCCTTTCATTTATAAAATAGGAAGAATGATCATTTTACTTAGCTTTTAATTATTTTGAGGATTAAAGGAGGTAATGCATCCAAAGGGCATGGGATGGTTATAGGAAGTGCCAGAACATGTCAGCTGTGTTGTCTCCCCGTCCTGGACACTGCAGAAAAGTCACCCATTTGATCCATGTGCCCTCGGGACCAAGAACCTGCCCTCCTGCCCCTTCCTGACCTTGCTCAGTGGCACTCTCATTTTCCCCACTTCAGCCCTTTTTGAAAACTTAGAAAACCCATCCTGTTTCCCAGCATTCTGTGATACAAGTCGTGAAGACTGGAATTTGTGTTTCTCTTGCTTATTCACACCAAGCACTATTCTCAGCAGCTAGAAAAGCACAGGGAGCTCTGGTAGCATAGTACCTAAGGCATTTGACTGCTAACCAGAAGGCTGGCAGTTCAAACCCACCAGCCACTGCTCAGAAGGAAGGTTGAGTAATCTACTTCTGTAGAGCTACTGCCTCTGAAACCCAAGATGGGGTTGCTATGAGTTGACTCGATGGCAGTGAGTTTGGGTTTTTTTTTTTTAGAAAAGCACAGCACCACTGCAATGAGAAAACCCACCCTCTGGAGCAAACAACCAACCCAGTCTTCACCTTGTGATGGACTGCTTGAATATTCTAAGCCTGAAGCCTTCCCCTCAGGGACAGTTCACTGCTGGTTGAAGCCATCATTAGTTTTTATTTTTCAAAATTAAGATAGCATATATTCAAGAGTTCCCTTAGCCATATGAAGGGTTATGTTACTGTCCTCCTGTTTCCTATAAGCAGCCCAAAGGTACATGGCCAATAAAACGGGGAAGAGATATCAAAGAAGTCAGGAGTGGATGAAGTGAACCTCTCTGAGGAGGGTAGGACTAGGATACCCTACAGAGAGGGTTGGGACCACAGGAAACATGGAGCTGGGTCCCAGTGGTGGCTAATGCCAGGGGATGGATGTGGAAAGATCTTGAAGCTCACCCTGTCAGCATCTCCTTTCCCTAGGGTTGGTTCAGAGCTTCAGCCTTCTCCTATTTTCTTTTTACTCGACAGACTGAATTTGGAAGACAGGGATCTCAGTGCAGTGCGGGCAAGTTTTGTTTGTTTCATTCGGAAACCAACGACCTGTTGTTCAGGGATGACACAAAATGTTTGGCCAACCTTCAGGACAGAACAACGTATGAAAAATACTTAGGACAAAAGTACATGACAGCTGTTGGTAACCTGGCAGAATGTTCAACTTCACGTAAGTAGGAGAAACTCCATGGATTCTGGGTGGTGGGTATAAAAGGAGGAGTAGGCTGTGGCCCCGTGAGATTACATGGACAGATGAAAATGGTGAGAGAAAAATGTAGTTCTGGCATATCATGAAAGGCCAGTTTATATGGGCCGATAATAAGGGTGATACAGACTCAGGGAAGTAGGGTAGTGAACTTCTTGGGACATGGAGAATCCCATGTTATGACTAATGAAGCATTTAATGTGCATATGCCCATTTCTCTGCAGAAAACTCCTTTCTTTCTAGAGTTGCATTGCCCAATATGGCTAGTTATTATTATTTTTCTCTGTTTTCTTTCTTCAAAAATTTGTTGTAATATCTCCCCCATCCCCCCCACCCCAACACCCCAGCAGTAATCTTTTTTTTTTTTCTTTTTACTTTTTCATTGTGATTGGGTGAAATGTTACAAAGCAGATTCATTTTACATTCAACAGTTCATACACATTTAAAATGAAAAATTTAGGCCTTTAATCATACCAGCCACATTTCAAGTGTTCAATAGCCACATGTGGCTCCATATTGGTCAGAAAGAAAATGTTTCCATCATTGCAGAAAATTCTCTCAGACAGCACTGTCCTACAGAGCTTGAGCGATGGCAAGTGATAACAGTACTGATAACTGAAAGGGGCCATATATAGCACTCATGCAGAAGACTAATTTCCTAAGAGTCAAAATACAATAAAACATATAGTTTTGCACTAGATGTGACAGAATAATGTGTGGTTGTAGGGCAGTCATTCTTCAACTTACTGTGCACATTAAAATAATGATTCCCACGTCCAGGCTAGGAGATACTGATTCAGCAGCAGGATGAGGGTCTAACAGCTTCTCCATGTAATTGTGCTGTAAGGTACATGCCTGCCCAGGACCACTGCTGTGAGCACTCAAGTTATACTTACCAAGACTACAATGTCCCTGAGGGGAGGTAGTCTGGCTGTGCTGCTCTCTGCTCCATCCCCTGCCCCTAATATGGAAACAGGAACATTCTAGGTGGTTAGTGCATTTTGCTGTGCTGGTTCCTCTCCTGCTAAGGAGTTGTATAGTAAAGGTCAGAGAGCACAGTCCCCCTAGGCTACTTCCTGGCAAGTGAATTCAGGTGTGTGAGCCCCACCAAAAAGATACAAGGTGGGGAGATGGTAAAGCCCAGAGAAATCATGTCATCATACTTGGGACTAGCACTGGAGCTGTGCACGCAAGTGGAGAAGCTGTGTGGGCAATGTGAGAATGGTACAGCATGCCAGTCAGAAGAAGAGGAGGGTAACATGTCTGAGTGCTCTTGTACCATGCCAATCTGTTCACTCACTGAACAGTTAATAAACATAGGTAGATTTTCAATATCCTGTCTCTGCTCTGTTCCACAGCTCTCCTGGAAGCCTGCACCTTCCACAAAAAATAAAATCCAAGAGATGGGACCACTACCCAGATGGAGATGGGAGCTTCACTGACCTATGGGCTTTGCCCCTGCCCCTCCCTGGTGCTAGGACCTCTCCCACTAGTCTGAGTGAAGTTTGTGCTAATCACATCCACCTTCACAGGTCTCTGTTGCCACCTGTGCAGGACATGAAATAAAAATTATTATGGACTCTGTCTTTTAAAATCTTCAATCTTTCTTAAGTGTTTCCCCTAGAAGGATTTAATTTATACTGTCTGATTAAAGACCTACTCAACTGGGCCCTTCCTTCAGAGATCACCTGATCTACAGCTTTGGTTATGGTGGCACAAGCACAAATCCTGGGTACAGTCCAATAGCAATGTTTTCTGAGAGGGATCTTGCATGGTCATTATTATAAGAGTCAAGTGTATATGGCCATGTGTGCATGTGTGTGTGTGTGTGTGTGTGTAGCACTTATTGCTAGGGAAGGAGGAGGAAGGAGGGAGAATGCAGAGTAACAGAGAGTAAGGGCTCAAGTGACTACAGAAAAAGAATGTAAAAGATTTCTATTATTTTAATGTATTAATGATTTACATCAGGCACACCAGAAGTATTGATCCTAAACCAGCTCAAAAGTGTAAATCACTGAAATATCTTCTTGCTTAAAATCATAACTTGATCCCAATTGCCACAGCAGGCAATGCCCTGTCTCCTACACTTCTCAGCCAAGCTTCCTAAAAGGAGGTGCAGGCTCACTCACTCCATGCCTTACTTATTATTAACAGTTTAACATATAGAAATCGGTCTTCTGCTCCATCCATTCCCCTGAAGTTACCTTGGCAAAGGTCACCACTGGCCTGCCAACTGCACAACCTAAACAATTTAAGGTTTTTTTTTTTTTTAATAACTAAATCTGTTCACTGCACATCATTTTTTGCCAGTGTCTTCAGTGCATCTTGGACTTTTTCCTTTAATACCATTGGTCCTTGATAATATACTACCTCCAGACATGGTTGAACATCAACCAATTCTTTTTGGTGCTGTGGTTCTGTTTTCCTTCCATCTTCTTTTGATGCTTCCTGCATACTTGAATATTTTGCCCATAGAATCCTTCAGTATGGCACCTCAAGGCCTGAATTTTTTCTTTAGTTCTTTCAGCTTGAGATATGCTGAATGCATTATTCTCTTTTGGCTTTCTAACTCCAGGTCTTCGCACATTTCATTATAATACTTTTACTTTATCTTCTCGAAATACCTCTTGCTATTGAGTTGATTATGACTTATAGTGACCCAAAGCAGAACATCCCCATAGGGTTTCCAGGGCTGTAATCTTTATAGAAGGAGGTTACCACATCTTCATCCTGCAGAATGGCTGGTGGGTTTGAACCAGCCACCTTTCGGTTAAGTCGAGTGCTTTAACCACTGCACCACCAGGGTACCGTGTGTGTGTGTGTGTGTGTGTGTGTGT